CCATTTGGTGCTTTTAGTGTAGTAAAACGCATTTTTTCCGAGTTTTTGGTGCTTTTTGAAAATGAAAAGTTGGCAACACTGACGGCGGTTGCTGGTTTCGTGCACATTCACTCGGAATACTGTTTTGCCGAAGCCGATATCAGTATGAGCTGTTATTAGTATCGACCACTTGTGGTGGCTGTATTTGCAAGCACTGTACGCTATCAGCGTTGCCGCTTTGGTAATTTTTAACCAAAATTGGCAACTTTTTTCTTTATTTATCAAGTTTGGTAATTTGGTAATTTATTTTTCAATTTGGTAACTTTTTCGATTCGGTCTTACATGGTTCTGATTCCACATTAGTAAGTGGCCCGTAAGCGTTTCCTTTTATAGAAATACCAGGTAATCCTGAAAGGTGAAAATTGTTCCAGGGTTCCTTGGCTACTAGAATGGTGTGGTCTTTAGCAAACTGCTTGAAAGTGGCTATTGCTAAGTATATTCACCGTGTCCTTTCCTGGAAGGTTTTGGGTGTTCCTACCTTTCCCTGGCAGTTCGTCAGCTTTGCAATTACCATCAATTATTCGGTGTACCCGGCAACCATATATATGAGAAGAATTCTACGAAAATATGTATGTTCTCGTTCAAAAAGCTACGGCATTCAGCGGGGTACTTCACTCTGTCTATGTGTGAGTCGAAAGCTTTCCTTCAAGCGTTGAATTTTTTATATATTTTCTTGTCACTTGTTTACATACAGTGGTCGAAAAAATTATAGCCGCACCATATTTTGACAAGTTTTAACATATTACAAAAAATTACCAAACTTATTTTATGTGCAAGTCTATACAAATATACATGTCGAGCCCTAACGTCCAAAATAACGTAATTATGTATGTTTGTGTAGTTCTGAACATAAAATAAGTTTGGTAATTTTTTGTTGAATTTGGTAACTTTTTTCGGTGATTTTGTTAAAAAATAAAAAAATTCTGTGGCAACACTGTACGCTATGCGCTGGTGTTCGTTCATCCCCCATTTTTAATGTGAGCAGGCTGAAAGTCACATAATCAGCATCGTTTGCCAATCTCTAGTGTAGTCGTCTCTGTCATACACAGCAGGTGTAAGTTTCTGGCCCTGGGTTTGACTCGATGCCAGCCCTGAGAAGAAGAATACGTAGCAAATGTAGCCCTATGGACGAACAACTTCTGAGATACTACGCCGACCGTATCGGGGTTAGATCGCCGAAACAACAGCCCTTGGTCGGGTAAAATACGAGTCACTCCGGTACGTAGAACCGGCTGTCGTGGGAGACTGATGGTTTGGCTTGATGCATTCCACGATGTAGAGAGGCAATCAGTGGCGGATACAGGGGAGGGCGATGCTAGTCATTTTATTCCATACGAAGCATCGTCGAGGGTTTTTTATATGGAGAAAATGAGCCACATCTTCAACGAAAAAAAGAAAATCCAAAATTAATGATAATTTAAATCGGGCTACAAAACTGCATACTCAAAATATTTCTAAAAAATCGAGTTGAAAAGTTCAAAATTTTTACAAAGTTTGTTGATTTCTTTTTAACCGACTTCACAAAAAGGAGAAGGTTTTCAATTCGGCGGAATATATATATATTTTTTTAATGTATGTTGCTGCATAACTTTGGGCCACGTTAACCAATTTCTATAATCCAATCTTTCGATCATGAATAAATTTACGATAATATTAAATTTTTATATGAGAATTGAAGTCGGTTTATTTTTTGCTTAAAAAATACTTGTTTTGCACATAGATAGAAGTATTCTACCAACAACGTTGTCAAAAGTTTTTGAGTATTTAATGGCGGAACAAAATACCCGTCATGTGCAGGAGAAGAACCCGCTTTATCTGCTTCAGTCTGGCTTTAGGATTGGTCACAGCTGCTCAACGGCTGTGTTAAAAATTCTTGATGACGCTCGTTCTTTTTTCGACAAAGGTTATTGTAGGGTTATTAAACTGTATGTGTTTACACTTGTTTAAATTCTTGGAGTTAAATTTATTGTTCTATGAATTTGTTTTTTATTGAAAAAGAAAATTTTTGTTTGTTAATAAATAAACTTTCTACGTGATCAAACAATAAAGAAAACTAAAATTTAAATAACAAAATATCTTATTACGGTATATTGGCGATCCTGCATTATAATTTGGACTACCAAAAAAAGACCAAGATCAAATGTCTATCAATGTCTTTCGAAATGTTCAGCGGCTAGCTCGATATGCATCCGCTGTTGTCCTTTCCGCTGCAATAGTGTGAAAATTTTTGCCAGTCCAACTGCCACAACTGTGAGCAACAACAAACTGTACAAACGCAGTTCTTATATCCTTCAATATACATCAACAAAGGCAAGCCTCGGAAACAAGTCACTTGTTCAGTTAATCAATCGCTCCACATGGACAATTTTGCAACCTTAATTTGCACAACCTGCCATATCACATCTTCCTGAATCTGCGCAACCACAACCACAATTTTAGTAAGCAACCAAGCATTAGCCCCCTACTTATTTACCGATACTGCTACCGCAACAGCAGCCGTTCATTTCTCCGTCAAGCCTCAACGTCGATGACCACAGCCAACAGTTCAACACCACAAATGTTAGTTACTGTTGTGCCGCTTAACATAAAATTGGTTCTAGGCTCTTAATCAACAATAACCATTGACTACGTTACAAACGCAGCAGCATTTACAGCATCAACTGCAAGGTCAACAGCTGATGCAGCAACATCATGTCTCAGCGATAACAACAACATTCTAGCGCATTTAATTTTTTTTTTGTCGTCGTTATAAGCATACAAATTGTTAGTTAAATGTTTAGATAAATATTTCTATATTTATACATATGTATGTATGTATGCATAAAAATATTTTTTTTTATTATTATTTATATTATTTTGCACGCTCCATCTAATATTAGTTAACTTCTCGTTTTATTGGAAGGAGAGTAAATATAGGGTATAAATACCTTTTCATTTTATACCTGTTTAATTTTTATTTGTCCTGTTGTTCTTAGAATTTATTGGAATTTCTAAATGAAAAGCAAGGCGAATTTATATAAGGTCATGAACCAACGACTACTGTATTTTTGGTTCATGATATAAGGTGGTGTTGTTTAATCAGCTGTGTGTAGCGTTTGATTGTCAAAATTTTTTATTTTGTTAGTGAGTGAGTGAAAACGTGAGAGTGTTTGCATTTTCTGTCGCCCTTTTTCATTCGGAGAAGAATAGCGGATATTTGACAATCACCAGCTAAAAGCAAAAACAAAATACAGGTTATTGTTGTATTTGTTGAATCGATGCCACCTTATATGAATTCGCCTTGACGAAAAGTTTTTAAATGCATTAAAATACAAGTCTTCACCCTACAAATATAAAATTTTTTATTGAGCAATAAATGATTCAAAATAATAAGATATCATCATGATATATTGTAAATGTAGGCTAATTAAACCGTATGTCTTTACACTTGTTTAAATTCTTGGAGTTAAGTTTATTGTGTTATGAATTTGTTTGTTATTGAAAAAGAAATTTTTTGTTTATTAATAAATAAATTTTCAACGCGATCAAACAATAAAGAAAATAAAATTTTAAATAACAAAATATCTTACAACGATACAGTTACTTTACATAACTATGTCTCCTTGACTTCCCCAAAACCTTTGACACTGTCGACCATCATTTCCTTTGTCTTAAGCTCACGTATTATTTTGGATTTAGCAAATATTCTCTAAAACTTATGACGAGTTATCTAAAGAACAGATTTCAACGAGTTACAGTAGGGAATCAATCCTCACAACCAATGAAACTAGTTTCAATTCTAGGACCTATATTATTTGCCCTATTTCTTAATGACATCTTTTCATTGTGTATATTTGTTAGTATGCATGCTTATGCAGACGATGTCCAGCTTTACTTGTCAAATTCTTTCGAAAATGTTAATGATCTCTGTGATAAGGTAAATCGAGACATTTTACCAATAATGCACTGGACAGAAACCGACAGTATTTGCCTAAACGAAAGTTTGTTGTAAATAACATTCCATCCCTTTACGTAGGTGCCAAACAAATTGCTTTTGTCAGTAATACTACTAACCTAGGTTTTGTAATCAACTCGAATTTAACTTGTGTGATCATATAAATATTGTAATATTTAGGTAAGGTGTATTGCGCGCTACGTTGTTTAAGACATTCGTTCCTGTTTACCCTAGTTAACGTCAGACGTAAGCTTGCCATCCAATTACTGATACATAATTTGACGAACTCTGCACTTATCTACAATAGACTAGACTCACAGTCTGCCCATAAGGTTGAGGTTGTTTTTAATAATAGCACTCGGTATGTGCATGCCTCCCAGTGGAGATACGATCTGCATATTTCTTTGTCGACTTATGTATTTTAACTAGAACGCCTTCATATCTTTATGAAAAGCTAAAATTTACAAAATCGTCCCGTTTATACGATTTAATTGTCCCCAACTTTAACTCTCTAGCCTCGACTAGATTGTTTTTTGTGAACACTATACGTACCTGGAACGCCATAAGGAGTACCAGAAACAAAAGCAATTATAGAACTGTTATTTATAATTATTTTTCTCAACTTATCTAGACTGACCAGCTTATTTTATTTTATTCGTGATACAAAAATTTAAATATTTGTATCATGATTTTATTTTATTTTAAATTATAACTATTGACGTAGCCTTAAGTATATACAAGCCTGCATTTTTAATATCAACATGGTAATGTTTTTGTAAATGTATTACCAACCTGAGTTCCACTCGTATCTGTTGTACAATAAAAAATTCAAAATCGTACTGTATTAATTTTCTTGTTCAATAAATGACAAAAAAAGCTTGTAAAAATGACAAATGAAACTTGGATTTATATGGTTTTTGGTGATTATAATCAAACTTTTTCCCGCAATTCATTTAAGTTACTTTGTATGCATGTATGTATGTATTTATGCATAATTACTAACCACTTACTCTTCTGCATCTGATAGAAATCGCCATTGGGTTAACACAAGACGAAATCATTAAAGATTGGGAATGGCTTGCCGAACACCTTTTCAAAGTGCTCAACGAAATGGAAAGTGAGGAAGAGATTACAAACTTTACAATCTGCAAAATTCAATCTCTAAACGCACAAAATAATCACGATGAATCAGATGAATCGGCTAATTTCAAAGTGGCAGCTTCGAAATTCCAGCAAATTTTCGAAATGCCCAAAGAGGAGCGTTTGGTTACTACTTATGCTTGCACGTAATGAAGACATTCTTTTAAATTGGATGATTTTGGTTGCATAATATTCCCATTATTACTTTCAGTTATGTCAAAAATAAAATGCCACATCAAGGTAACTTGTACATTTCGTTAAATCACATTTTCTTCTATTCGTATATGCTGGGTAGTCAAACGAAGCGAGTCATAAGGTTTAGTGAACTGGAAGATATTAGAAGACACGGGCAAATTATATATTTGAAAACGGTTAACAATGTTCACTATAATTTCACCTTATTGACTGATGTAAAAGAGGCATATGGACTGATTGAGCAGCTGAGCAAAATGGCTATACAGCAAAAGATACAGGTACTTTTTTGGCTCCAAATTGTTAAACTAAAAATGAGGTCAATATTTTTTTTATTATTTACGTTAATAGGACCCGGATAGTCCAATAGTCGATCATGATGCATCAGTATTTCAACGCTTCGGTCGCAAAACATCAAATAAACCGGGACTTTTGCGGGATTTGACAGCTCGTCAAAAATCTGAAGAGTATCGTAACTATTTTCGCTTACCACAGTCGGAAATCATTGATGGTCAAATAAGGGGTATGGTTTAGAATAATACATACATATCTAGGGAAAATATTACTAAGAAATTTCCCGTTTTTTTAATTAATAAATATTTCATAGCCAACATCTGGACCCCATATTCGAAACGCTATGTGGGCGGCAACATTTACCTGTCTCGAAATTTCTTCTGTTTTCGCAGTGATGTAACCGACCTTGTCAGCCTTGTCATTCCAATGCGTAATATTAAAGTAAGTCTATAAAGTTTTCCCTTAAAAAACATCTGTAGCGTAATTGTTGGTATATGTAAATTCGCAGAGTGTTGAACAGAAAAATGATGGCCCACATCGTTATGATAATCAAATCGTCCTACATACAGCTGAGAATGTACACTTTGTGTTCGCGCAAATTGTCGACCGGGAGGTGTTGGTGGAAAAAATTAGCGAGCTGCTATCACAATTCCACGTGTAAGCATTTCCACTTGTTGTAATCGCAATAATAGCCATGCGATATTAGTACATATATAAAACATTAACTTCTTTTTCAACTGTGCAGTCCTCTCTGCCGTGAGCGTGCAAAATACGATATATCCTGGAGTAAACAAGCCGCTCTCATGAACTCATTTAAGACTAATTTGAGTGAGGAAATGTTGAAGATTCAAGAACAAAAGGTAGACAGCGCTTTTTATTTTGTATAGTCGTAATTCTACAATTCCTTTGCAGCTGGCACGCTGGGAGTTACATTTCCGTGATTTTGGGCGCGGCATTTCAATGTTTCGTACAACAGAAGTAATTAATTTGATTGTGGAAGGCATTCCTGATAAACTGCGTCAGGAGATCTGGCTAGTATTTTCCGGTGCAATACACGAGAAGGATATGAATCCTGGCCTCTATGAAGACTTGGTTGAAAAAGTATGCAAAAAATTCACTATATAAGAATATCAACAACTTTTACTTATGCTGGATTTTCTGTAGGCTGCATGTATTAAGCAATCCTCTATACACGACGAAATTGATCGCGATCTTCACCGTTCGCTGCCAGAACACCCGGCGTTTCATCATGCAGACGGTATAGGCGCACTGAGACGCGTATTGCAAGCATACGCATTGCGCAATCCTCACGTGGGTTACTGTCAAGCCATGAATATCGTTTCATCAGTATTTCTGCTATTTTGCGACGAAGAGAATGCATTCTGGTTGCTAGCAAGCCTTTGTGAAAACTTGCTGCCTGACTACTACAAAGACAAAGTAGTAGGTGCACAAATCGATCAAAGCGTATTAAATGAGCTCGTTGAGACATATCTACCCGAGTTGCATAGTCACTTGGAGCAGTTGGGTATAATTCGTATGATCTCACTGTCATGGCTATTAACTATTTTCATAAGTGTCATTTCATATGAAAGTTCATTACATATAATCGATTGTTTCTTTTACGATGGTGCCAAGATAATTTTTGTGGTAAGTACAAATTATGTTTTATTTTTATTATTATTATTATTTTTAATTTGGGATCTTATAACTCACCGCTTGTTTTCAATCTTTTTTTTTTTCAACGTAGATTGCACTCCAAATTCTGGAATGGAACTGCGAACAGCTGCTCAAATGCAACGATGATGGCGAAGCTATGCAGGTGCTTTCTAAATTCTTGGACGGAATTTACAATCCAGAATATCAACTACCAACACCAGCGGATAAGCGAAAATCTAAAACACAATCAGTGCAAATGCTTATCCACGATGCGTACACGAAGTTTGGCTCCAAAATTTCGCAACAGAAAATCGAAGAATTAAGAAATAAGCACCGACGTCTTACAATACGTCAATTCGATATTGACAATGAAAATACAATTGTGAAATTCCATACCGACAACATGTACTTTGACAAAGAGGAGCTTCATCTACTTCTAGCCATTATACGAGAGGAGAAATCGACTCCACGTAAAGTGTTGCAACAAAAAGCGCACTCTGCACTTGGTGGGGAATCACCAATACTGTTGCCACCAACAGGACGTGTTGGCTATGCGGAGGGTAATTGCAGCCGATCCGAATCTTATAATGTTGATTTCGAAACATTCCGGACACTATTCCACGAGTTAACGCCATGGCGCACCTGCGTTAGCATTGATCTAGCAGAAAAGCTGTTTAGGGTACATTTTTATTCCCATTACCTACAGCATATGAAGAACTCTATAACAGAACGCAATAACTCCACTTTAGCATTTACTGAGATAATTAAGAATATTATATCACAGCCAGATAGAAAGCACCCGTTGTTGATTGGTTGGTTGCACCTTTGTTTTGATAATTGGCCCCGGTCCCAATTAGCAGTATAAGCGCTACTTTGATATGCTATTTCTGGAACCTCTGATATTATCTTCTGTCACAATTTGTTGGTAACTTTAAACCACTAGAGCATGCCGATGAATCTACTTACGTTAGTAATCAGTCATTTCCTGCGAATTACAAGTGTATTTCCCTATTGATTACCATATCTGTTTGAATGACAGGGAGCCCAGACGTGTGAAATATCTATTTATTTCTTTTCATAATCCTACAGTCACTCTAAAATCCTAAATCTTCGGCTTGGAAAATACTAGTAAAGTAAGGTAGTCGGAACGAGAGAGAGCCATCCATCATTTCAGAGATTGCCGCCGCACCCCGCCACAGTATTTTTGACCCGTCAGTATAGATGCCAGCCTCTACTCCAATACCATCCATAAGGACACCTCATTTAAAAATTGTTCTGGAAATCTAACGTAGTAGGCATAAAAACTGATTTTCCCTGGCCTTGGGAGCTGGTCAAGAGTACGGGTGAAGTCCTGAAGGTAGAAATACAAAGTATCAGTCCCTTTTATTTCAAAACGCACTACATAGAAGAAAAGGTCTAACTAGCGTAACCTAGTTCGGCTGCAATCCGTAATCGCCCCATAAATTTGACACATCTCTACCGCTTTGCAATAAGTTTCGACTTAATTAAACATAAAACTCTCTTCATTTCGATAACTATTTTTCGCTAAAATCTTTTTAAAAATTCCATTAAAACATGAAGTTAATTACATAGAATTTAATATTTAGAATTACCGAAACCCAGAAAAAACTTAAGTGGATTTTTTGCGTTTTGTTTAAGACTAGCTAACTAATTAAAAGGGAGCAAATTTTTTGTTGTTAGTTAAAATTTGTGTATTTTCCATTTAGTTCAAGGAAAAAGAAGTTTCATTTGTTTGAAGTGAAACTAATCGCTGATTTTCTTGGCCAGCTGCTTCAATTATAATACAATTCGGGGGTAAAGAAGACAATCACTATTCAGCTTTAGTTTTTGTCGATACGAACCTCCCAGAGCAACTTTAAGGCAATGAACATTCCGACAACAAAAAGCTTTTAAGTTGGACTACATGTTGCCTAACATTACATTTTATTTATTTATTATAATCAAACACTGTTATTTTACAGTGTTAACATTACAAGAATGTCTTTATCTTGGTCTTAAATGCTTGTGGACATAATTTTTTATTTTTTTTGCTGTTTTTTATCCACCAGCTGACCGATAAGAAAAGTACTGGAACAATAGAGTTCTCACAAATTATAAATGCACTGGGTTTAGTATGTTCTTGCAAATACACTGAAAAGCTAAAGCTGCTTTATATATTACACCTGCCGCCGCTGCTTTCGAAAGCTGAAATTGAGCAGGTCAGACGTCCAAAATCGAAGGCCAAAGAAGACGCTGAGGAGGCCATTGAAGCTGAGGACTTTTTCGGGTACCTAATGCATATATGCATACACACAACTTTTCCGTATTTTAAACATTTTATTATAACATTTGATTTGCTTTTACTAGCGACGATCCATCCGAATCAATCGAGGCACTCCCCTCGCCTACAGATAATAACTTCGACGATGACGAGTACGCGCTCATCACAGCCACGAAACATTTGCATTGCTTGGCAGGCCTATCACAGCCATCACCATCGTCTGGCGCCATTAACGGAGAACGCTTGTCAACGTTCTATGTTGATCTACCCCGCCAACATGTTGCCCCTATGGACGTTGCTCGCTCACAAAATGGTGCAACTGGCAGCAGCACTTCGGATCTTATTGGCAATGCATTGCGTCATCAAGGCCGTTACGAATCGACTGATACGTTTTCGGATATTTCCGATTTGGGTGCCGCGAAGGTGACACCGCCACAATTAAATGTGGAAACGATTTCGAATTTTTCACAAATCAGTGATTTAATAATGGCTACCAGAGGAGATCGTGCAGACTCAACAACTGACACAAAAAGCTTGGGCAGTTTAAGATATTTACTTGATCAACCAGACGATGGAAATGCGCCCAATAAAAATATACCAAACATGAAAAAGGCGAACTTCCAATTTTTGTGGAGATCACTTGTAGAAATAATAGGAGAGCAAGACGAGGACATGAGGAAAGCATGTAAGTAAAGAAATATAGTCTAAAGAGGAGGAAAAGAAGGGAGATGCTGCATGAACCTTAGTATTTACCGATACGATCCTCCAAAAGAAACGCATAAGCAATGAACAATCTAGCTTCGTGAAACTTTCGAGCTGGGCTACATTACATTGTTACTATACAATTTCTTATTCAGCCATTGAGAATCCATTAACTGCAATTACCGAAATTACCCTGTCTAGATCGGCGAAACCTACCAATTCTTGTGAGTCCCTGGAGCAACACCTTGCTGCAGGGTTGCTCTGCATTCTTGCTATTTTGAGCTGGCATTGAGGCCGAAACCGACATTTGCTGGGTATGCCGGAGACGGATTGGTCCGGACTACACTTCGGTCACATAGGGAGTATGCTACGGAAATCCGCCTAAATTTTCCGGCGGGATCTGCTTTACTAGCGAATGTGCGTGACCATCTAAGCCTGGTCAATCTTCGTATCAAAGATCTCAAATTGGGGATACGGCAACTAGTAATCCAGCATTAGCGGAAGAAGTGGAAAGGTTACCTGCAGGAATGGGTTAAATTTTGTCAACCATGAGGTACCTGTTCAACCCGACGATGCGCCATGGCAGACTGAGTAGCGGGGGCTAGTTGGACGTAGCGGACGAAGCAACAGACCTGTCAGCATTACCAGTTCGAGTAGCAACAGGGCGCTTTCTGATGTCACCTGCAGACTTACCGAACAGATCGCTGTTAGAAGCTCGTGGATGAGATCGAGGCCTACATAAACAGCACAACCCTGGTCCCGACGACGTGAGAACATTCCCACGACAGCTGGTTTGACGTACCGGAATGACTCGGGTTTTACCAAGCCAAATGCTGTTGTTTCGGCGATCTAACCCTGTTTAGGTCGGCGAAATCCCTGAAAAGTTGTACGTTCATAGGGCTACATCTGCTTCGCATACTTCTGCTCAGGGCTGGCGTTGATTCAAACCCTGGGCCAGAAATCCACACCTGCTGTGTGTGCCAGAGACGGCTACACCATATCTCCACTTCCATCAGGTGCAACGCCTGTAATTGGGGGAGCCGCCTTCGAGTTTGCTCAGGCCTTATGACTCACAGGCAGTAGACCACCTCATACGTGGCCCCTTGCTGTTCAAACTGAGCTGCCTCCACGGCAAACCAGAGTCCGCCACACAACCATATCGCAATACAATAGACAACACCACAGACACAACAGACCACACCACAGATACAACCGCACCACCTCCCACACGCCGTCGCCAACAGCTCGTGGTTCCTCCGACAATCTGCTCGGTGTGTCAGTCCAGGATATTCCGTAACGTGACACAGTCAACTGCAACACTTGCCTTGCTTGGTCTCACTTTAGGGCATGTTCAGGACTACGCGCCACGCGAGATTCGCAAGTGCCAGCTGCGGCGCCGCCCACCACCACCACAGGGCAACAGCCTGTACAGTAGCCGCACAGCAAGTGGCGGGCAGGCAACACACCTCACTGACACCGCATATTCCAATAAGTCTCCCTAGGCACACGAAGATTTTACAATTAACTTTAACGGACTTCAGAGCAAGATCGAGGAGATAACCGTCTTCATGGGCCGGCATGGAATATTAATAGTTGCATGGCAATTCAGCACTGTTGAGTTGCGCCTGATACAACGTGCACCGTTGAGATCGCGAGCGAGATAATGGTGGTGGCCTAGCCGTTCATCACGCACCACACCGTGCAGTATCGTCTTATCGAAGCAGACATCGACCGCAGGGACACCATCCTAGAATGTCAGGGTATTGCTATCCGGTCAGACGGTATTGAGCTCGATCTTTGGCATTCAATCCTGTCGAATGATTGTAGGGAAACACACTTGACGGAGCAGATAGACGATTCGACATTCTGCATAATGAACGATGACGCACCCACCAGGATTATGGGCAGCTGCAGCAGCTCGCCAGACCTAACAATTGTCAGCGCTGGTCTGATAAACAGCATATCATGGCGACCTATGCTGGCCTTAGCGTAAGACCGTCTGCTCATAGTCATCTCGATTGATATACCAGCCGACTTTGCTTCCGCGGATCAACGGACCTACATATGTATGTATGTCAACTTTTCCAAAGCAGATTGAAAAAGCTTCGCGGATGTTACTGAAAGCGCCTTCACTGCCCTTCCCACACCGACCGACGTTCACGTAGCCGAACGTAAATTTCGCAGGGTTGTCACTGCTGCTGGACGTATCTCGGACCCCCGTCCGAATTTTCCTGTTGAAGCGGCTCTCCTAGCCGATGAGCGTGACAACCTTCGTCAGGTCGATCCCTGAAATCCCGGGATCTCAACTCGGAGATTCAGCAGCTTGTGAATCGAAAGAAGTAAGAAGAGCATCCAAAGCCACTGAATCCGAGTGGAATATTTAACCAAGGTCCTCAACCTGTCTGTGGCCACTCTCATCATTCCTTCTACTCCCGCGCTACACAAGTCACCTGACCCCAGCGAAGGATCAGCATGGGTTGCGTAAAGTGCTCAGCACAACAACAGCACTTAGCGCCACAAACACCCAGATAACTCGTGGCCTTAACCGAAACCGCCCCTGTGAGAGAACTAGTAGCGTTGGATGTCCAAGGCGTTCGACACTGTCAGCCATTCAAAGCTTCTAGAAGACATAGAGGCCTCTTCTCTCCCACAGGGACTTAAACGGTGGTCGGCGAATTATCTGAGCGGTCGACACTCGTCAGTAATCTTTAGAGACAAATCGAGCTAACTTAGGAAAATAAAACAGGGGGTTCCACAGGGTAGTGTCCTTTCCCCACTACTGTTTGATTATTATATTTCAAAGCTCCCAAAAACCACCAGAGGGAGTCTCTTTTGTCTCTTTTGCAGACGATTGTTCGATCGTGGCGTCTGGGAATGGAATTGATGATTGTGCTCGAAAGTAAAAGGTTATCACGCCGAGCTTCCTCACTTTTTCACTGCGCGGAGCCTATACCTTTCCCCTACAAAATCTTCAGCAACGCTTTTTACCACTTGTACGAAGGAGGTCAGACTGCAACTGGGTATTCACGTCGATGACGAGCCAATTCTGACGGTGAATAACCCGATGATCCTCGGAGTAACCTTCGACAATGTCCTCTCCTTCTCGGCGCATACAACCGCATTGTCAACAAAGTACAAAGCCCCAACAAGGTCCTCAAGTCGCTAGTCGGCAACACCTGGGGCAAAGAAAAATAAACGTTGTTGGCAACGAACAAGGCGATTGGCCGGCCGGTTCTGAACTATGCAACGCCTGTGTGGTCGCCGTGGACTAGTAGGACGCAGTGTATGGCACTTAGAACAGCGGCAGGGTGCCTTCTGATGTCGCCGCAACATCACCTGCGAGACGAGGCCCACATGCCCCCGATTAAGGATCATAACACAATGCTCTGCAAGCAGTTTCTTGTAGGGTTCATCGTCGTAGGCACCCGAACGCCAGGCACGTCAGAAGGCATCTATATGAACAGACGGACGAGGTTCATTAAACCACTAATGAGCTCAGTCTCGAGTTATATAGACTCTCGACCTGTGAATGCCGTTGATGAGACAGAGCTTCGCCTGCCTCGCGAGACCCGGACCACAATAGCTCAACTTCGCTCAGCAGGTTGAACACATACCTGAGCAGAGTAAATGTGGATGTGTTTTAATTAAACTTTGGTCAACCGCAAGGTCCCTGTCCAACCCGACGAAGGCGTTTCCACCCGGGAAACTAGCCGAGAGAGGAGATTCTTATCGGCGGCTAACTTTCCTTCTTTAATAGGTAAGACACATTGGGCCGTACTAAGTACTACCTTATTTTACCTGAACCCCACTACGCATCAACATGATGGCACATCGCAACCGCAGTACTTGAAAATTTTGGTATCTCATTGCCTTAACCTAGGCAGCCCATGTGAGGGAACTGATATCATGTGTTGGCGACTGCGCCCGGCAATGTCATAGTTGATCTGTGTTTAAAAGTAAGCAGCCGAAAAGCCTCGCTTTTTTCAGTGCGGAGCTTCCACGGCATACCCAGTAAATGTCCATCTCTTCACTTGCCTCCTAACACCCATCCGGCCAACACCCCTTTTTCTTTGGTCCGGCTCGTCGACATAGGATGTACCCGTTAGTTTAATTTGAAGGCAACGATTGCTAGACTAGGCGATCTAGGCAGGGCTTGGTAGTGCCTCTACAAGAGACAAAATAAAAAATATTTATTATATGGATGTTTGTTCACTTTTAGATGAAAATCTGCTGGAACTTGGTAACAATAACATGAAGAAAGAGATCAGCTTAGACAGCTTTACTCAACTAAACTTGGGTAACGGTGATGAGGTTTGTAATCTTCGCCAAATGACTTTGAAAAGCTTTAAACATTTGTTTTCCAACTTCCTTTAAACAGCCTGACAGCAATGGCAACCCAACAACTCCCTCCGCAGATACTAACGCGACGACAAAACTCTTCCAAGCTTATGAAGAGGAACTGAAGCAAAACTCCTCCAGTGGGGGCGGCGCAGGCAGCAGCAGCAACAGCTCGACAGATCTGGACAGTTGGGAAATATCCATAAATCAGTTCATTGCAACGGTCTTGGCGGTCACTTCGATCGTTCAGTGTTTCTACCAGAAAACACCTATTAAAGAGAATATCGAAAAAATGCAAAAGAATCGTCGTAAATGTGTAATCACGAATTATTAAGCAAACGAAGGAATTGTCTGGGTTTGACGAACAACCTTAACTTATAAGTATAAGCTTAATCTCAAGAGAATGTTGAGTAAAGTAACAAAAAGTAGTGAGTAAAAATATGCGATTAAAATAATTACAATTTACTTAGAACGCATGGTTGATTTTGTGTTTTTAAATATCGAATATGATACAGATTATAATACTGAAACAAATATACATATATAATGGTGTACGATTTTTTGTAAAATGAATTATCGGCTGTTCCCTCTATAGCAAACCATATCTCAAATTCATATGCGGAGGTATTACGTTCTTAACGTCTCTTTTCGACTATAATGTGTAATAATTGTTGAAAACGCTAAATATAAATTCTATGTAAAAGAAGCACCTCGATGAGCAAACGCTTTTAAAATATACGGCCATTCCCTTGTCTTTCCAAATTTTTTAAACAAAATTTTCATAGTTAATTGTGCTAATAATGCATTGTTTTAGCCTTGAAACACAAAAAAGTAGCTTGTTATATAAAAAGTAGTGTTTTTTTTATAAAAACAAAACTATTATTATTACTGTTTTACATTATATATGTACCTACATTGTGGATTATTCATGTACTATCATACAGTAGCAATACGTACATACACATACTACAATACTACATACATATTCTTACGTAAATATATTAGTTAAAGAACAAACTTTCGCTTACTTTTATTGGATTGAAGGCCATAAGAACCGGAACAGACTGTCTAAATTTGTGAACAACTAGAGAAGTTGCTAAAAATACACAAATTGTTGTAATCCCGTTTAGTTTTCTCACGAGGAAATAGGTAGGTAGCAAAGATACCTTAAATGTATTTTTTAGATTTGACCTAACAAGTGTTATAAAAATCGTTGATTATATTACTTCATAGTATTAATGTTTTTTAGATAGGCCCCTCTGGTTTTCTTGACCTCATATAAAGCAGACTATCTTTCTCAAGAAGTGTATTTTTAAGTTTTTTTTTTTTTATCCACTTGACTCTCGCATTCGAATCACCCGGAAAAAGAGTACCGCCAACTGTTACCGCCAATTTGGTGCACTACTTGAATGATATCAATCTACATACATATCACTCATTTATTAAACGGCTATCACAACTAAAACAAGTAAAGAAGTCTAAGACCGGACAAAGCTGAACATTAAATATCTAGCGCACGTATTAAATACCTTTCCGAAAACTACCGTTACGTGGTAAACATGTGCGGTTTTCTCCTATTTCAAACANATATTCTTACGTAAATATATTAGTTAAAGAACAAACTTTCGCTTACTTTTATTGGATTGAAGGCCATAAGAACCGGAACAGACTGTCTAAATTTGTGAACAACTAGAGAAGTTGCTAAAAATACACAAATTGTTGTAATCCCGTTTAGTTTTCTCACGAGGAAATAGGTAGGTAGCAAAGATACCTTAAATGTATTTTTTAGATTTGACCTAACAAGTGTTATAAAAATCGTTGATTATATTACTTCATAGTATTAATGTTTTTTAGATAGGCCCCTCTGGTTTTCTTGACCTCATATAAAGCAGACTATCTTTCTCAAGAAGTGTATTTTTAAGTTTTTTTTTTTTTATCCACTTGACTCTCGCATTCGAATCACCCGGAAAAAGAGTACCGCCAACTGTTACCGCCAATTTGGTGCACTACTTGAATGATATCAATCTACATACATATCACTCATTTATTAAACGGCTATCACAACTAAAACAAGTAAAGAAGTCTAAGACCGGACAAAGCTGAACATTAAA